TGATTTCTGACTCAGGGTAGAACGGACCATTTGGGTTTCTACCAAATGGTAGAAACTGTCATGTTTATGGAGGCAGGTGCTCTGAGGCCCATCTACTCTCTCCTGTGGGGTGGCTCTGAGTCAAACCATGTCAACCACAGTGGGCATCTTTACGGGAGCAAATTATCCAGTCTTTTCTCCCGACGAAACGCTGGTGGGTTTGAACTACTGATCTTGTGGTTCTCAGTCCAATGCTGATTGTACAGTGCCCACCAGCAGGCTTTTATATTGAGTGCAGGCTGCAATGATACTATTTCAGACATACTGGGTGAAGGAAAATATATTAAAATTGATTTCACTTGTTTACTTTTTATTTAATGTGGCTACCAGAAAGCTAACAATGACTTATGCGGCCTGCATTGTATTTCTACATGAGTGAACCTCAGGAAGCTTAATTGGCAAATCCTCCAGAGGTCAAATGCAGGGCTATCGTCTGACCCAGCAATTCTACTTCCAGGTATCTACTCAAGGATGACAAAGGTAGCTTTAGTGGATTACAAGGTGGGCTGCTGACTGCAAGGTCAACAGTTCGAATCCACCAGCTGCTCCTCAGGAGAAAGATGAGGATTTCTGCTCCCGGAAAGATTTACAGCCTCGGAAACCCTATGCAGAGTCGCCATGAGTTGGAACAGACTCCATGGCACACCACCACCACTCAAGGGACATGGAAACGTGAAGTCCTCAGGAAAACACGTGCATGGTACTCATTAACAGCCTGAGAGTGAGAGCAATCAATGTGTCCATCAGCTGATGAACAGAACGCGTTATCCACACAGTATTACAACAAAAGCACCCTGAGCTCGAAACCAGAAAGGTCACGTACTGTACAAAGCCACTCATATGAAACTCCCAGAACAGGCAGATTTACAGACAGGAAGATTCGTGATGTCTACAGTGTAGTCCTGGTATGGTGCTGCAGGATAAGCACTGGACTGCAAACCCAAAGGTCGGTTTGAACCTACCAGCTGCTCCTTGGGAATCCTATACAGGGTCACTAACAGAACTAACACAATGGCCCTTAACAGCAGATCTGGGGACTGGTGACATTTGGGGAGCTGGGGGGTGGAGGGGAAGGGAATGAGAACTGAAGGGTTTGGGGTTTCTTTGTGGGGGTGATGAAAATGTTCTAAAATTGTTTGAGATGATTGTCCAACTCTATGAATACGCATACGCTTTTTTAAAAAACATTTTAGAATTGTATACTTTAACCAAGTGAATATTACTGGGGTGGTTGTGGGCCATGGAGTCAGTTTCCACTCATAGAGACCCTATATAGGGTTTCTGAGGCTAGACATCTTCATGGGAGCAGAAAGCCTCATCCTTCTCCCGTGGGGCAGCTGATCGTTTCGAACTGCCGGCCTTGTGGTTAGCAGTCCGTCTCATAACCCACTGCACTACCAGAGCTCCTTGAACGTTATGGTACAAATGCTATATCTCGATAAAGCTCCGTCTACTGACCTTTCAGCTAGCAGCGGGGCGCTTACCCACTGCACCACCAGGGCTGATGTAAAGCCGTCATGTGTTGTATGATTACACTTATATGCAATGTTCAAATCCAGAGAGACAGATTAGCAGTTGCCCAGGCTGGGGAGAAGACAGGGTCGGAAACTGGGGTTAAACAGCACGACACCAAGTGGGTACGGGCGAATCTCGGTTTATTGCACTTTGCAGAGAATGTATTTTCTATCAACTGAAGGTTTCTGGCATCAAGCCCGTGTTGACAAGTCCACTGGTGCAATTTCTCTAATAGGATGTGTTCCTCGCTGTCACATTTTGGTCATTCCCAAAACATTTCAAATGTTTTCATCATATGCCTGCATTCTTTAGAGTCTAGGGCCCACATCACTTTTATTTCACTGGAAAACCAAAACATTCCCCTAACTTGCTTTAGTGTAGAGCTTGCTTTACGGTGGTGGTCTGGAACCAAATCCACAGTATCTCAAAAGTGTGCCTGGAATAGGTTTGTTTTATTTTGGGGTGACGGAACTGTTGACGGTTGAACAACTTGGTACCCTTTAAATGGGTATCCCAAGCCTAGCTATGAAGAGCAGGACACAGATTTTAGTTGAAGCATCAATTCTAAAACTGGTGTGCGTCAGAACCACCTGAGGGTCCGAGAAAGCACATGGGCCTCCAGCACTCAGCCTGCCTTGGAGCACCGGGGCAGGGCCTGAGATCTCCCTTGCTAACATTCCTGAGTGCTGTCTTTTGATTGGGAACCACCAAAACCACTGGAAGTCCTATCTGTGTTGTCTTTAAATGGAGCTCTAATTCACACGCCATAAAACCCATCCACTGTGTGTACAATTCACTGGGTTTTTCAGTAGATTCAACCACCTTGTGCAACCATCCCCATTACGCAGCTCCAGAACATTTTCATCACCGCAAGAGAAACCTCGAGTCCACTTTCTGGCTGTGAATCATGTGACTGTGAACACCCACATAAGACTCGGATGGCCATTATCTTAGGTGGGGAAGGGGGTCATGAGGCAGTTGAGGCCCCCACCCATTTCCACAGCTGCTGCACCACATTACGTGAATCCCATCTTTACCAACACTGGTTACCTGTCTGTCTGTATTACAGGCATCTGAAGGGGCCAAATGGCATCTCATTGTGGTTCTGCCAGGTGCAGTGGGCTAACCCACCAGGGCTTGTACAGAAGGAAGAGGTGGCAGTCAGCTTCTGTAGAGATTCACAGCCTGGGAAACCCCAGGGAGCAGTGTGTCCTCTAGGGACGCTATGAGGAGAGCAGACTCCGCGGCTCCGAGGACACTGAGTGTCTCTTTTCTCAAGGCCTTGAAGGGAAGAGCAACACTCTTGCTACTGCCAGAGCGAGGAGAGACCACTTCCAAGGAGCTGGTGAAGGGCTGTGGCCTTCCCTGCCCACTGCCTCTCCTCTCTAGCACTGCGCTGGCATTATGCAGGCATGTCTGGGAGGAGCTCAAATACTACGGAAAACATGTTCATTGAAGGCACACTTCTGGATTCAACAGTTGTTGTTGTTGTTGTTGTTAAGTGCCATCGAGCCGATTCCGACCAATAGCAACTCTGTATAGGGTTTCAAGGAGTAGCTGGTAGGCTTGATCCGCCGACCTTGCAGTTCAAATGGCTTGGCAGTCTAGTGCATTAACCCACAGCGCCACCCCAGGACTCCTGTTGCTAACGTTGGGTGCCGTCAATCTCGACTCAAGCAAACCCATGTGAGAGAGGAATGCTGCCCTACAGAGTTTCCTTTACAGGAAGCCTGCTGGCTCCACAGGATGAGCGCTGAGCTGCTTCGTAGAAAGATGAGGCTTTCTGCTCCTACAAAATGTTTACAGGAGCAGTCGGCCACATCTTTCTTCCGCTGAGCCTTGCGGTTTCAAATGGCCAATCTTTCCGTTAACAGCCAAGCTATTGTGCCCCCAGAGCTCCTTTGTAGTGGGTGTTTAAGATTTGTTTCTTCTGTTTTAAAAAAGGGGACCCCAAAAGACTAAGCTAATTTTCTTTCATGTTTTGCCCCCTTAAAAGAATTTCCTCCCCATTAGCTGTGGGGTGGTTTCCAGCGCTGTGCCCTCCCACGCCGAGGAAAGCGTGCAGCGGACACCGAGGGTGGCTTGGGCAGATTTGGAGTTTATTTGCTGTAGTCCCTTGGCGCTAGTTTACAAGGCAAAACAGAAACAATGAAAATAATTATTATAATTTTTAAAAGAACCCTGTCCACAGCTTTCAGTCATGTCTTTGTATTTTGACAAAACTTTTTTTTTTTTAATTATTTTAAACAAATACAAAATAACCTAAAGGAGAAAAACCCTACATGGATTATTTACACCTCTGATAAATAGACGAATACTGATCCTGGAGAGCCTGGTTCTCCTGCCAGGAAGTTCCAGCCTGGCGCTGGGTGCTCTTCCAAGAGGGTCCTCACAGGCTGCAAACGCCTGAGGAAGCTCCTCCACCCAGAGGGGAACCCCGTGTCCCCCACTGCACCCTGCAAAGGCTATTTCCAGAGATGCTGAGCTGCCCGGGGAAGGCAGAGGGGCTGGGTCACGTTCACCTCCCACTGTGCTCGCGGTGCACCCTCTGCACTCTCCCACATTTGTGGGGTGCCCCCGAGAGTCCCTGAGAGAACGAATGACAAGAAGACCGGGTTCTGCAGCCGCCTCCGCTCCAGGAGCTCGGAGGGGCCCGGTCAATCCACACAGGTTTCTTTAGGAAAAAAGTTCACAAAACGCGAAAGGCAGGCGTCCTATCCCGGGACAGCCTGTGGGTCCCCACAGGGCATCGCCGGCGTCCATCGAGGGCCAGCTTTGAGGCAGGAAAAGAGGAGCCCTGAGCTGGCCTGCTAAGACCCACTCCTCCCTCTAAAACGAGGATGGAGAGCCAAGCGAGGAGAAAAGGCCGATGGGAACAGGCCGGCCGGAAGTCCCCCAGTTTTGGTAATTAGGCATTTAGCTCACGGAAAGATGCTGACATGGTGTTTTCAAGCCCAGCAAGGAAGTGACTTGAGTGGAGAACAAGCAGTTTCAGGGTGCTGGCCTCTGCTGTGATGTCCCGAGTCCATGTGGGTCCCCACTCCTTCCCACACTGCCCACCCCGTGCTCGGGGCCACACGGGCACCCGCCACCAGGCCCGGGGAGTGAGGGGATGGAGGTACCCCAACAGCCCTAGCCACTGCTGCGCTCTTCTAGAAAACAGAAGCCGGGTTGCCAGCAGCGCCTGGCTTCTCGTGCACCCACTTTTGTCTTGGTGCCGCACTGCTCAGGCGCAGGCTGAGGGCTTCTTCACAGGAGCACTGTCCTCAGAGACAAAGGCGGCAGAATCCATGCTTCCAGAGGCTTCCGGGCCTCTCCCCCAGGGAACGCAGCCCGCCCATTCGCTCCCATTTTAAAAACTAGCTGAAGGCAGTCTCTGGGATTCAGGCCATGCCTGGAGGAGATGCTTCTGCCTGCCTGGGCCGGGGACGCGCCCTCAACTCGGCTCAGTGTCTCTTGGTGGAGGAGACCTTCTTTTTGCGCGCGGCCAGCATCTCGTAGAACGGGTCCCTGCTGATGGCCGCTCTGTGGCAGCACACATGGGGAAAAAGAAAACAGATGTGAGGGTCTAGTCAAATCCAAGGAAGGGGACAGTCGGAGAGACAGGATAAGGCCCAGCAGCATCCAGTTACAGCCAGAGGGCAACCCAAGAGACCTGAGGGAGCAGCCTGAGCCATGTGAGTGCACAGCCTGGGGTCTCTCCAGCAGCCTCCAACGCCCCACTCGCGCTGCTGTAGACTGGCCCAGCATCCCCATCCTCCTCGTGGCCACACCACACTTCACAGACATAGGTTCATGCGACAAGGCAAAGCTTTCGGTTGCCTGTTTCAGCCTCACCACCCCTCTAGGTTTGGGACAGTATCTCTGTGTGTCCCTATCTCAGGATTCCAGTTCAGAAAACCAACCTAGTGCTTCAGTGCCTTAGATGCCATGGGGCCCTCCCCTGGGGCAATGAGCATCACATGACTCACCAGCAAATTGCCCTGTGTGTGTGTTTACAATGAGACAAGAGTGGGGTAAGAGCTTGGGGTGGGGCAGGGCTGAGAGTGGGAGGGGAGCAGCCGACGGGGAGCAGCTGACCGACCGGGAGCAGCGTGAATCTCCTCGAGTAAGCTCACTTTGCATTTCCAGAGAAGCAGTGCTGTTCAGATGTGCTCCCCAAAGTAAGACACCCCGATCCCCTGTGCCTGTCTGCACTGCGCTCACAGCCAGGGAGAGGAGGGACCAGGCGCACGCCATTCACCACAGATGAACTTGACGGCACGAAGACCTCCATGGAGGGACCTCACAGGGAGTTCTAATGCTCAGAGTGATTTCAGGCGGGAATCCAACCTGGACAAATCTGACTTCCTTTTCAGGGGCGCTGAGTGAACCCACCTTTGCTCCTTGGTTGGGGCTGCGTCTACCTAGGACGAGGAACCCAGGGCACCCAACACCGTTGAGTGTCCTAACAGAAGCAGTGCTTTGCAATCAGAAGGTTGGTTTGCTCACACCCAGCTCGGCTCGGGCACTCTGTGTGCTGTTTCCTAGCTCCCCTTTCCTCGCTGGGCTCTCCGGAGGAACGTAGGCAGAGCACACATCACAACAGCTGGCACACACAAGCCCTCCATCTGAGGCTGCCGCTCTGTGTGTACAGACACCTGAGCTAGTGAACCGCATGCCCGCAGCACCCACAGCGGGCTGCTAGAGACACTGACCCAGGGCCTTCCACAAAGCGCCCCAACTCGCTCCGAGTCCCATCCCTCTCTCTGGGAAGCACTACAAGGCGTCGAGTCTGACAACTTGGTTTGAACCACCTCTGGAGTCTTTGGACAATCTCACTAGCCTCACCAGGCCTTAGTCTCCTCATCTGTTCAGTGGGGATAATAATCCTACTATGTCTGCCCTTCCAAGGACTGTGGTGTGGCTGAGAGACCGAGCACGTCTCAGAATGCTCAGAACAGAGTTTGAGCAGAGACTCGCACCTACTTGGAGGCAGAGCCGCACGGATGGACCAACCCCATAGGCAGGGCTCAGTGAAAGGACCACAAAGGTCTACTGCTGATTTTAAAGAACACTTCATTTATCTGACTGTCGAAGCTACAGACTACATCAAAGACAAAATATACAAAAACAACCCAGACGGGTTTTGCAAGAATAACAAAGGGGCTTTCCGGGATCTGCTTTTCTCACTGGAGAGGATGAGGCCGCGTGTAGAAACAACACACCAGCTGCTGGGCCTGCCTGCTATGCCCTCCATGCTACAGCCGGTCACACGGTGGGGAGAACATCTCCGCTGGTCTACAGCTGCTCACATGGTGCACCTTAAATCCAAGTTTAAACTGACACTCAAAATACAGAAACCTCTTAATTGAGAAACAAAAGGATATATACATTCAGCTTTAAAGATGCAAAAATTGTTACGAAGTACAGAAACTCCAAAAGGGACGTGTGGATTGCTTGTAGAAATGGAATGTAACAGTGAAGACATCACATTGTTGAAGAGAACTCCCGGCACGCCACCCTGGAAGATACCACAGAGACTCGGAGCCCTGTAAACCGAAACCATGGGATGTCTGCGAAGGCAAGAGTCCTGAACACCTACCATCGGGACAGTCAACACCTACTTAACAAACACGATTCTTAATTTAAAATGCTGCTTACTCAGCAAGCATCCCAGAAGCCCTAGAACAGAGAGTGAAGTGTCCAAGTGAGATGAAGTGAGGAGAGACGCACAGAACGCCCAAACTTCAGATAGTGCCCATTGGACCCAACTTCAAAGGCTGGATGATTAGAACTCAACTAGAGAAAGATTTAAAAAAAAAAATTTTTGTTTTTGATAACCAAAACAAGTGTAAATCTCCACAATTTGATGAACTTGACCTACACATATGGATGTGCTGGTGGCGGTGATGTGCCCTGTACAGGGTTTCTGAGGTTGTAAATCTTTACGGGACTCATCTTTCTCCTGTGGAACAGCCGGTAGTTTTGAACTGCTGACCTTAAGGTTCAGAGCCCGATTCGTAACCACTATGCTACCAGAGCTCCTTGTACTTATAGATGTAGTAGCTTAAAATATCAATCAAGAGGTAAGGAATCTTCAGCACAAGGGTCATTCCCATCCTCTCTCCCCTCTGTACACAGGATCGATAGGGATGGGCAAGCTAGATACGGGCTACATAAAACGGGGCAGGGGCTGTAAAGGCACGAAGTGACTGGCTTATAAGTTTTCAAACGGGAGTTTAGATTCAGAGTGTGTGAGGGGCAGGGGTGTAGAATCCCCAATGAGTGGTTTTCATCCTGTCTAGATGGGTTTGGTAACGAGATTCTTGTGATACAATAGTGAATAACTATTATCATGACTAATTGCAACCGTCACAACTGTAAAGGTAGAAGTTCTGTAGCAAAAAGCGGGTAGTGGTTGATCTTAACAGTCAGGAACACAGGAATGATCCTGGGACCACCAGCTGCCTCCTGTCATGCCTCCCGCCACAAGCGCGGTGGCCGTGTCCCTCCCTGGGCACCCTGGTCAGGGCAGATACACTAGGGACTGAAGAGGCACTTCCCATGCACACGTATCCATGAGGACGACCACCTCCACTGAGATGTCACCCCAGAGAAAGAGATGAAAAAGAGGGCCCCCAAATGGTCTTGGTGCTAGTTAGTGGGCTCACCTGTCCCCTGGCTCTGTGGGGTGCACCTGGGAAACTGGGTGGACAATCCAGAGGGCCCTCTGAGGAGTCATCAGGCCATGCCACCCAAGCCAGACAAGGCTTCAGGAGGAAGGCCAGAGGCAGAGGTCAGTGAGGCTCACGCACCTTATGCTCTTGATCCACTCGTCCTTCTCCTCAGGTGTTGGCGCGGAGATGCGGTACACCGTGTGGTTGCCTTCCACCACGCGCCCATCTGCCTCTGTCTTGCAGGCCTTGATCACCTGGTCTTTGTTGTCAGGGATGTACAGCTCGAAGCAGTTCTGAGAGGAGAGAGAAGGAGCGAGTGGCTGAGAGATCTAGGCGGAGCTCCTTATTCTCCCTGAGACTTGTTGACCCTTCACAAACACCCGGACAGAGGAGTGTGCGGTTTGTGAAACGTGAAAACTCATCAACTGTTCTGCAAGTCTTCACACAATAAAAATCAGCATGCAGCGCCCCCTCCAGGAAAGAAACACGCCAGTACAGATAGTGAGTGTTTTTGGTTGGAAAAGAGGCGCTAGAAAGGTGTGTTCTGCAGAATGCAAACTGCAGACGACAGGTCTTACTGACAGGTTTTCACTGACTCTGCTGGCTCTACTCCCAGCGGGCATGACACATGAATAGAGTTGAGCCCGCAGCACCTGACTGTCCCAAAGCTGGGGTGGGGGGGACGACGACTCACCAGGCACCCAGTTCACACAACAAGGAGCCCAGTCACAAGCTGGTGAGAAGGGACCGCGTCAATACCTCATGTGATATTTTCCCACAAACTTTGTGAAGCCTCCTCTTATCCATACTGAAAGTGCTATTCACTAGGTGATATTATTCACTAGGTGAGGTGGGAGGGAATCAATACCTTACATGATATTCATTAAGGGATGAGGGTGACAGGCAGAAGACAGAGAGGTACTTGGAGCCTCGTCTTTGGCTTGGCTGTGGCAGAACATTCCCTCACCAGAAGGGGATCAATTCAAGTCACACAGTCTTTTCCAGTGGTTTTCTAGTTCACCATTTGCAATTTGCTTCTTTCCCAGAGAATGGCTGTGCCCCTCCCAGTCACTACTCACTGGTTTTTTTGAGTCCTCCACCTCTCGGATACTCAGATTCTCCAAAGGGATGATTCCCCGGGGCTCCTTATCCTACAGAGGATGAGAGATGGGGAGGTACTGCTCAGTCTGATGGCACACACTGTGACAAGTCACTGGAGCCCTCCTGTCCCACTCATGACTGACAGTCACAAGCAAGCTCAAGGGCTTGGGCATCATCGTCAAAAACATGGTGAGGGTCAGGAAAGCTATGAGCCCATCATTAACAGTCCTGTGCAAATACAGCACCCGAAACCCACCCAAGTGTCAGCAGTGGGTTCAAACTGCTGACTTTGTGATTAGCAGCCCAATGTATAAGCCACTAGCCCACCAGGGATCCCTAGGAGACACAACAGACACCATCAAAGAATGTGTCTGCGGTGGGTGGGGGGGTGGGGATCCTTGATAAGAAATCACTCACAAAATGACCTTCCTTCTTGGTCTGACTCTCCACATCTTTTAAACCTCAATTCCAAAGACAGCAGGTCCAGAAAGCCTCTCCCACTCTCGTGATGGGGGTCCCACTACTCTGTGCCCCGCCAGCCTGCAGATTTATCTGTGGTGGACGTCACTACCTTGTGTTGGCTGCTGCCCTTCCCGACTATTTCCTGGAACTAAAACAGCCCCTCAACCCATGTCCAGAGCAGGGTTAAATACCCTGCTGCCCCCTTTGATCCCAAGGGGTCCTCCTCCAGGGTCTGCTGCTATCCTCGACACCCCCGATCATTACCGGCCGCCACTTTGGCACTGTGCCGCCACCACCGCACTTGGTGACCCTTGTCCAGGATCAGTTGGTGTATCTGACTCCCCGAGGGTTGTGCCCTGCTCCGTCCTCTCACTGGCTGTGCTGTTCAAGGAGGTGGCACGGGGCCCCTTTCCTGTGTCGTCTCCTCTCAGAGAATTCTTTCACCGACATGGTGCTGGCTGAGATGCTCGCCTCCCCACTGGCTGCCTGAAGGCCCCGTTCTCTTCTCCTGTAGGGACGTGACCTTGGGGCCCATCATGGCGTGCCTCTGACCCTCAGGTGGCAGGGACTCTGCTTGGGCTGGCTTGATTTAGCCTCCGTTCTGTCCACTGCCTGCCTGTCTGCGCGCTTTCAGACACACTTCCTGTGAGTGTCTCAGGCCTTTGCTCTTGAGAGAGCTTACATTTTAGACTACTTCCATCCTATTCCTTCAAGTTTTAACTTAGTAATAGTTAGGTGTACACACACACATACATAAACACATACATATATAAGTACACATAAAGTACACACATCTATAACGTGCACACATATATAAGCACAGACATATATAGTAAACACACATGTATAAATGGTGATGGTGGTGGTGGTTATGTGCCATGGAATTGGTTCTGACTCATAGTGACCCTGCACAGGGTTTACGAGGCTGTAAATCTTTACAGGAAGTAGAAAGCCTCATCTTTCTCCCACCGAACAGCTGGTAGTTTTGTACTGCTGACCGTGAAATTAGCCACCCAATTCGTAACCACTACGATATCAGAGCTTCACATATATAAGTATACACACATATATATGCTCACATACAAAGTACATGTGTATTTATAAACAAACATATAAGTACACACACATACATAAACACAGACATATAAGTACAAACGCATATGTGCACACACACAAAGTGTATATATATATATATATATGTACACACACATATACACATACATAAACAGACAAGTACACACACACACACATGCACATAAAACATCGGAGGGACATCACATCGCTTGGTCACGTGTTTTAAGTCTGGCCTTCCAATTTGTCCCTATCATTCTATGAAGAGGCCTCACATCCCACTATAAAACTCCTTCACTAGTCCCATTCTGTTTCCCCCACTCGTCCTCCAGTATCCGTTTCCGCGCCCCACGTGGCTGTTCCTGCTGCCTGTCTAAAGACTCTGAGTCCCCCAGATCAGGTGGGCTTTCTCCTACCTCTCAGTGGGCTCGCCCCACCTGGAGCCTGTGCTACTCTGGGGTCTGGGTCTCAGCCCTTCCGCCCAGCTCCCTGACTGTGGGCACGCTCACCGTCGTGTACTCGAAGTAGTACAGGCAGTTGTCAGTCAGAATGAACCAGCGACGCTTCCAAGTCTTCACCCTGCCACCTGCAGAGCAAGAGGAGGCACACGTTGGACAAGAGAAGCCAGGCCCACGTGACTCTGTGATAGGGGAGTGAGGGGACGTGGAGACCGTGGCAGACTGACATTGGAAACGAGACACAGAGCCAAGACAGAAGCACCTGAATGACGTGTCTTAGGGACAAGCAGAACAAGCCATCCAGTGACCTGAATGGGTGGGACCGCGGGGAGATGATGATGCACAGTGCAGAGTGGACGGGCTGAAGCGGCAGCGCCACGCCTACCTGCGTGGCCATGAGGAGCAGGGCTCCACCAGCAGCAGGTGAGAGGAGGGGACAGGTAGCAAGCGGTCTCAGAGCTTCACGGGCATGTCCTGGGACACAGAACTAAACTCTCACCTTGCCCCGCACCCACCCTTCCTGGCTGGAGTGAAATTTCTACTCAGCCTTCAGGCTCTGGGCCCGTGTCCTGAAAACAGATCTCCCCCAAATCCAAGCCAAATTCTTCTCTTCGGGAAGAATCTACTGGTGAGGAGAGACCACACCCACAGGAGCCTGCTCAGCTCTGGACTTCTCACTAGACACATCTAACAAAAGCCGTTCCGCATGGAGGGCCTAGTCAGCATTTCTCAATGAAAGCTTTTGGGGGGCATGAGGTGGGGTCTAAGGAGGGAAAAAGGAGCCACAGCCTGCTCTCTCGACTTATCCTGGGTCCACAAAGCCTTCCCAACCACGAGCCACACGAACACCTGCCTGGAGGGTTGCCTGGCTTTCAGCCCTCCAACACTTCTCACTGCCCCAGATGGCAGATGCTTTATCACTGAGACTTAAAGGAAATAGCTTCTCCAACCTTCAAAAATGGAAGGAAATCGCCAAGTGCCTATCTTGGATGGTGCCAGTTTTACTTTCTTCTTTTACGTTTGACACAAAGTAGGGTGATTTCAGAGAAAGTATTTCCTATTGCCAGGGCTGGCCCTGCATGCTCACAACAGGGGGACCTAGACGGGCAGGTTTGGTGGGGGTGAGCACATAGCGTTTTGGAAACAGCAGCCAGCTAGGTCCAGGCAGACAAGCCTAAGGCTCATGTGTCTTGTAGGGCTGAGTTTAACAGATGGTCCCAGGTTAGGGAGGGCACTTTGTTGTAAACTAGTCTGGGCCCCTCCCTCCCAGCGACTGCTGACTTTTGTGAAAGCCTCTGGTCCTTAGAGGTCAGGGGGCATATGGAGACTGGAAAAGGCTGGCAGAATTCAAATAAACAGAGAAGGAGGCACGGGAATACTCAGAATTGGAGCCAGTTTGCTGTTAAAATGGAGCTCCCCCACCCCTGCCCCCCGTTTTCAGAGAGCTGGGCTCTGGGTGTGTAGTATCCTGGCTTCAGCACACAATGAAACGTTGACCCATGCTGGCCCCCATGCACTCCACCAAAAGCCACAACCCAGACACGCGGGGACAGGGCTCAGAGGCCACAGCAGCAAGATGGGCAGAGGTCCAGGAGAAAGAGCAAGGCTGGGGACCCTCGGGTGACATAGGGTGGCTGTGTCCCGGGACACTGCTGCACTGCAGAGACCTGGACCATGACATTTCATGTTGCAAGGAAACAGACATGAGCAAGCAGACAGGTCAATGTGTGCGCCTAGACAGTCCCTGTGGAACTCACAGGCCACCCCTAGGCTGCTCAGAACTGGACCACAGAGGGAGGGGAGAGTCCTCTCACCCCGAGTCTCTATGCAGAGCAGGGTGGGCGGGACTTCCGGGGCCTGAGAATCAGCATGTGGAGCGTAGCTGCCCCACAGTAACTGAGGAGTCAATGTCACATTAACAATGACTGAAAAAAAGGAGGGAGAGAACCGAAACATAAAGAGAGAACTCCTGAGATGCTAATGCTCTCCCCCTGCGAGTGTCCTGGAACTTGATAAAAGAATTTAGGGGTTTTGTTTGTCTGTTGGGTTTTAACTTCACGGGGCGCCAGTTTGAATTTAGGAAACACCTCTCCTGTGTGCCATGTCAAGTTCTTTTCCAAATTTGCCGTCTGGTCCTGCCATGACAGAAGCTTGTGGCTTTGGGAAATGAAAGACTGCTTCCTCCCCTCCTCATCCTCACTTTACAAGTGACTTCACAGCAGGCTGAGCTGCAGAGAGCTGCGTGCACTTCAACAAAGGCGGCAAGCCCAACGGAAAACCTGCCCTGCTTTCACTATCCCATCCTGACTGATGTTCTGTTGCCATCTACAGCATCTAGGTACCTGGCTATGTGATGCACTGACTCCGCCCATGACAGGCCCGTGGCCGACCCTGGCCAGTTCCCTAGGGACTGTACAGTAAGTTAGGAGCAGCAGCAACACTACCACCAGCAATTAAAGAACAAAACCAAAGGAACAGAATCAGAAATACTGCAGCAATTACAGGGCCTGAGCAGAGCGCGCGGGCAGGTCGGGGTTACATACCTCCTGGTGTTGGGGGCAAGGAAAAGGAGAGCCAAAATCATGGAAACATACAAATGAGGGAGAAAAGAAAATGAAAACAAATTAAACCAGGCTCCTTCATTTCACAGTGCATGTTTCAGTCACATTCATGTCTGCTGAAGGCAGTGCCAGGCATGCCCACATGAGGGGCTCTGAAGGAGGGGCAAGGTGTGAGGGCCCACTGAAAAGTGCGGCCACTGAGGGGCCATGGACCCGTTCTTATAAAAGTCTGTGGAAAGGACTGTCACTTTTTCAGGTGTGTGTGGGAACACACACATGCCCAGAGGTATACATGGACACACGTGTATACACGGAATGTAGTACAGACACACACACCTGGACAGGTGGAAACGCTGCCTTCTGCAGTAAACAGGGGATAACACGGTGGCCCACCTGAGCACACCATCCTGACAGCTGAGAAGGGCTAATGAGGGGCTGGGAAGGGATGCCCCCCGAGTGAACTTCCATCTTTCCTTCGAGAAATTAGTGGGGCCTCACGGGCGCTGCACACTGCCCTGGTGCAGGGTCAAGACCACCTTGCCATTGCTCCTATGTGGAACAATTTCTCTGGAGGGGGCGAGCTGAGCTTGCCCGTCCTTTGAAATGCATTCCTGTAGGTCTCCAGTTCAAGCCATCTGCTGGAGGCCCAGTGGTCAGTCACAGTCAAGCCCTAACTTCAAAGGGCAGGCTGACCAATTCAAGACACAAAAACTCGGCTAGTGATGTGGGGCTTTCAGGCGAATTCACAGGTGAAGTCGCTCTGTCTAAACAGGGTGTGGGTGGGCTTTGAGAAACGCAAATACGAATCCCATCATGAGCTTAACTAGGAGAATTCAGTCTTGGCTTCCGCTGAATGTCGGCTCCCGTCTTATAGGGACGAGTCACCAGCTGAGGAGGGAACCCCCTGATTGTACAGGGTCCCAACTCAAATGACAGCAAAGGTGCCCTGTGTCCTGACTGTGACACCACGCTGGCAGGAAGAGGACAGGAGGCCTGATGGAAGGCCTGGGCAGGACAGGACAGGAGGGAAACAGCGCCCGGATGAGAAGGGTGCTGTGGGTGGAGGTGGAGCTGCAGCCGGTGGGGGAGGGGGGACGGCTCTGGCCTTGCCATGCATGCTGCCTGGGGAGCGGATGCGGGGTGATGATGCACTGAGGTGAGGAGGAGGCAGGAGCACCCGATACGGTCTGTGTGGTGGCCAGGATAGAGATGGACAGCCAGCAGCCTCCCGATGGTGAGGGGCCGGGAGATGGGAAAGGTCAGGGCCAGGGCCAGGGGAGGCCTCTACACAACACCTGGTCCAAAGACTCACCAGTGGCAATGGGGGCACAGATACACGTGGGCAACAGGGCGGCTGCAGATAGCCTGTCCCCAGAGACCTGTGTATGTTCCTCCAGCAGAGCACATCGTCTCAAAAGGAGCCCACCACCCCGCAGTGCGCACGCACATACAGCCTGGCTCCGAGCCCTGACCACAGTGGTCACTCACCGAGTTTTAACAGCCAGCCTTCTCGGTCTGGATTGAAGAAGGTGTGAGTGAGGTCATTCCCGTCATCTTCGGGGATCTTAAAGGGCTCGTTTTTTATGCTCTCATACAGGTTCTGGGATAAAAGATGGCAAGGCATGTCTCTGGTTCCAGAACCATTTTCTTCCTCCCCTTTCTCTTCACTCCCTCAACAGGCTCCTGAGCACCCACAGCACGCATGCTCCGCGGGGACCAACCACAGGAGCATGAGCGTCTAACACCACAGAAAAACTGCGAGACCACTTTCCCCTCCTCCACAGCACTCCTGCCAGCAGAGTGGGTGCCGCTGCGCCGGGCTCACCCGCAAGAGCTCCTCAGGCAGGTCCCCCCCATCGTTGATGCCTCGGTTCATAGCGATGAACCGCTCCACAGTGGGCTTGTCCTTGACATTGGGGTTGTGCAGGCTGGTGTTCAGCATAATGATGGCAAAGGAGAGGACGTAACACGTGTCTAAGAAGAAGAGGCGCAGAAAGGAAACACATTCTGCATGGCCGCCAGACACAGGCCAACCCAAGGAGCAAGAACTGCCCGATGAAATCAAGAGTCCTGGACACCTCTCACAGGAGAGGGGGGAGTCACCTGTGTCCACTGTTACCCAAGAAAATGCACAAAACGGGACAAACAGTAGGTCCTTCTGCTGCAAAAGGATCCTGTATGCGCACAGATGGGTCTATGTGAGCATGCACCACCAACAGGGCACCCAGCACCATTCCTTGTATGCACATCACCTGCATACACACTTAGTCCATGGGCACACAATATATGAAAAACCTATTCACATTTCTTCAGCATGATGCTGGCAAAAGAGAAGGCATACTAAAACATTATTATTAAAAATCATGTATTAACATTGGTGGTTGTTCACTGCTGTGTGCCATCAAGTCACTTCTGACCCAAAGTGACCCAGTACATGGTTTCTGAGATCAGCTGGTGGTTCGGACCTTAATGGTTACCAGACCAGTGCTGACCCTACAGCACCACACACAGAGCTTGTGTAACTTCAGTAGCTACAATAATAATAATGCTAATGAAACCAAGACTGCTCTCCAAGATGTCTACAATCCCCAGGAGAGCTGAAGGCGTAACTGGCTGGGCTCGGGGCTGACACCTACAGGCCCAAGGCACAGAGGGGCCCCGAGGGGAGGAGTCTCATCTTGCCAAAAGGTGTGTACTCTGCAGGAGCCGAGCACAACCAGTAACTTCATTAGCTTTATTTCCTCGATACAGAAGTGCCAAAACGTAAGCGCTCACACCTGCTGTCTCAGAGACACGCCCTGGAGCATACGGGCACCAAACTGACGCAGAGGTTTGGCTCCTACTCCTATTCTCGTGCTGTGAGTTTTTAAAATAGCTGCCTAGCCAATCATTCAGTTGCCCCATAATTTATATAGTTATACTCTTACTGTTGGGACTTCTGGGTTTCCAGCTTTCTGCAATTTTAAACGCCATTTTAAATACACTTTCTTAGGCACGACTCTAAACACTTGTGTTTTAGCAGAGACTGTGGGGCGAGTGCTCCCCACTACCTGTGGACTGGAACACCCCGGTGTTGCATTGGCAGTACCGCTGGGCAAACGCCTCCATCATCCGGTCAATCTTCTGGGCTTCCCCCGGTAACCGGAAGCTCCACAGGAATTGCCTGGGGGGAAGACGGGCTGCCTTACTCCTCTGGGAAGCAGGTAGCCATCGTCCAATGATCTTAATTGATGAACTGCAGTCTTGTACATTGCACAGCACTGCTAACTTAACCAAGGCTGAGCGAACGGATACAATGAAACCTCTCCTGTACAAAAGAACGGCCTTCCTTCTCAGGCTAAAAGGCAGGCAGGCCCTGCTCATTTAAAGCCAACTCCACTTCACAGGAAACACGGAGGTGCAAGAAGGGATTTTCTTCCCTCAGGATCTGCAACACATTTTGTAAAGGCAGCTGAAAGCACTTCTGCCTCTGTGCAGTGGTTGACACTGCCATCCCATTTTGGGAAGAAAACGAAAGGGCTTTCTAAACAGAAAACGGGCAGAGGTTTGATGTGCTCCTTCATTTCCACAACGTCCAGTGAAATCCTGAGGAGCGTTGTGGACAGATTTCGACTTCAGGGTCCAGCATGATTTAATCCTCCTTGGCCAGCCCTCCTTGTTTTTCACAGGCCACTAGAATGCTTCCATCTGAGATACCTCAAGATATTAAGAGTAACTCCCAAAGATACGATTACAACAAAATGCCAAGCCCTATAGCTAAAGGGAAATTTCAGCCAACACTGCGTGACTAGAAGCCTGTCTTCCACATCTTCCCAGGGGTCTGCTTGGAAAGTACTAACCGTAGCGCCTGAACAAGGTTAAGGTCAGTGAACTCGTGTAACTCCACAAACGCATGAAGAACCTGGATATTAAACTCGTCTCTGTCAAGTCAAAAGACAGGGGAAAGCAGGAGTCAGAGGCTGACGCTGAGAAGTTTCAGTTCAGTCCCATCTCCAAACCCATAGCCTGGGTCCAGTGGCCCAGCCACCTCGGACATGGCTGTCCACACAGCACTAAAAAAACCCGTTTAGCTGTGTTAACAGGGGAACCAAACATGGTGCCGTCATGGCCCTGGTATCGACCCATCTCATACCCCATAACCCCCCAAAGCTTCTTCTCAGTTCTAGAGTGGCCACTGGTACCTCACAACAAGGGGACTCTGTGTGCCACTCCTGACCACTGGAGGCCTTACCTCTCGCCCAGGTAGTCCCCGATGGCAGTCTTGTTGAGCCCTTCACCTTTATATAGGAACTGGGCGATGTCTTCACAGGTGTCCTTGAGCAGGTCGTTCTCTATCAAGAACTGGATCCCCTAGGGAAGGACAACAGCAATGAGGCCAGCCCCAAAGCACTCAGAAGCCCGCACTGGACACTGAGTGAGTCTCTAGGGTCAGACTGGGATCCGTGCCAACTGACCCCAGGGATCAGAGGAAGAGCAGTTTAGGAACTGGGGCTTTCAACTCAAGAGGATGTGACATTTGTACTAAAAAAATGACAGTTCAGGGAACTGTCTTTAGCTCTCCCTGTGTCCCTCAAAACGTCCATCTGGAAGACTAGCAGCTGCTGCAGCTGCCTCTTCACTCACCTTCTTAGGGTCCATATTGAATTTCTTCCTGCCCATGGCTACCTGCTTGTTTCTCTGCATGTTTTTCCTATAAAACAACGACCACAATCATTTCAGTACTCAGGGCATTGGGAGGTACTGACGGATGAACGGAATTCCCACGTGGACCCGCGGACCTAAGAAAGGTTGCGGGGCGCTCTGTCCAGGGAAGCAGCGGGCAGTTCTGGCCAAATTGTGAAAGGCACCTGAAGTTCAGGTCCCGCCTTCCTGCTCATCGGCTCCCTCTACACCAATCAGTGCTTTTCTTGGTTTTAAGATGATTTTAAAAACAAAAACTTATTGTAGTATAATTTACTTATCACTTAATACACCCATTTCTTAATGTCCACAGGAAGGATTTTTAGTAAACTTAGGAAACTGGGCAACCACCATCACAGGCCAGGTTTGGACTATTATCAGCCTCACCACCATTCACAGGAAGCCTCAGTCCAACCGGCCCAGACAACCATTCATGTCTCCAGAGTTACCCTTCCCAAACAGATTCACACTTTGCGTAACATTTATGAGGTTTACACACGGTGAAGAACGCATCAATTCTTTTTATGGGGAACTCATATTCCACTAAGGAGGCCCACTGGTGCATCAGTTAAGCGCTTAGCTGCTAACCGGAAGGTCAGCAGTTTGAACCCGCCCAGTAGCTTTGCAGGGACAAAGACAAGGTGATGTGCTCCCGTGAAGAGCGGCCTAAAGACGGAGCACAGCTCGTTTTCTTCAATGGTCACCCGTCCATTATTCTCTCTTGAAGGAGCCCTGGTAGTACAGTGAGTTTTGAGTTGGGCTGCTAACCACAAGGTCAGCAGTTCGAATCTGCCAGCTGCTCCACAGGAGAAAGATGAGGCTTTCTGCTCCACTTTCACCTTTTTTAATTTTTGGTCTTGTACACATCACTGAAACTGCTCTTACCAAACATCATCCATGGTCTTCACTTTGCTAAATACACAGCACCATTCTCAGACCTCACCTTACTTTCACCACCAGCAGCGTCCACCATTATCTATCATTCTGTCCTTGAGCCCTTTTCTCCACTTGGCTCCTGTGATATCATTACACACGGAGTTCTCCTCTTGCCTCCGGGCTTTCCTTAAGTCTCATTAAGTGTCTACATTTCTCCTGTTTGCATTAGAGGGTCCCAGATCGCAGTCCTTGTCCCCCCTGCTCTTTCTCTCAGCTACACTTCGCTTTAGCTGACCTCAGTCGGTCAGACCCATGGCTTTGAAGACAATGTGTGTGCAGACAACTCCCCAGTGGGCAGCCAGAGCTCTTCTTTGGCCTTTCCACAGATTTTCAAGGTCCACTCAGCCTCTCTACTTGGACAATTAGAAGGCAGTTCACACATAACAGACAAAACGGAACTCCTAACCATCCTGCCCAGGCCCCACAAACCATCTAAGGTTTTAGTAAGTGTTTTAAAATAACAAAAATGTAATTATCAGCAAAACACAATAAAGGGAAATATAATGAAATCGGAAAAATAACAACACAACAAAAAATGCTGTTATGTGCTGCTGAGTTGGGTCCAACTCATACCAGCTCCGTACTGCGTTTCCAAGGAGCGGCTGGTGGGCCTGAACTGCTGGCCTTGCTGTTAGCAGTCCAGTGCTTATCCTACAGTGCCAAACCAGACTCCATAAAATAGACTACAGCCTAGAAAGTCCTGTTTGGCTACTACCATGTAGGGTCACTATCGGCTGGAATTGGCTAGGGAGCAGTCTACAGGAAGATCCCTTTGGGTGTCTGTTCACTGGCTGGTGGACAGCCAGGTGGCTTCCAGTTTGAGGTTCTCTCTCTGGGATCCAGACTCAGGAATGGCCCTTGCTGGGCTGCACAGTACACTGATGTGGGAGTCTTTAAGATGTTGCCAAATGAACAGTGGTTTTCCTGTGTACATATCAGAGAAACAGAGGCAGACCTCCAGCCCACACTGCCACACAGCAGCTACTGTCCCCCGTCACAGCCCTAGACCAAGGTCCTAAGTGCTCCAGCCCCTCGCCACACCCATCGTGTCCACTGGCTTGTGGCTGCTTCACACAGCAACGATTGCTAGGTCGACAACAGCCCACAAAGCCTGAAGACTGGCCACCCGGCCCTTTCCAGAACAAGTTGACCACGGCCCCACTGCTCTGGCTACCAGATGGTACCCTAACAGCACTCCCAACCCTTCCTAGTTTAACATGCTATTGTTCTAAGTAGCTCTGAAACGAATAAAACCAAATGTCATTAAGAAGGCTACATCAGGGCAAATTTAATCATCTGTCTAATCATTTTGGTTTTCAATCAAGAAGATTACTGAGATCACCACTTCCAAGGAAACACCACAAAGCAGAGCTTCGCGCACGGTCCGCAGGAGACCGACAGACATGAGGAGGCCTGGGCTGGCGCTGCAGGTTCATGCACCAGACTCCAAGTCGGTGGTTCAAGCTCACCAGCTGCCCTTGGAAACCCTATTCAGGTCGCTATGGGTCGGAACCAATTCAACGGCACTTAACAACAACACCAACAACAACAGAAGTACGATGCACACTGCTTGCTCCTGGGTCCTACTGTGCCTGAGTCTGGTCCCTAGCTGAGGGCTTTCCCTCCAGATGTGTCCACACCACAGGCCTACCTGGAATACTGACTTCCTGAGCTGCCCTGCACCGAGTCTGCCCCTCTGGCTCAGCCCTGAAACCATTTCTCTAAGGGGTGTCTCCTCAGTTTCTAACTACAGCTGCTACACCAAGAGGACACCCCAAATAAGGCAGTTAGGTTAGCACTACTAGAACACTGCAACTCACTGGCAGGCAGAAGAGCTTTGGAGAGGTTTAGACCCTGCAGTGCTTCCACGAGCGTGTGCGTGCAATTTGCTGAAAGAGTACTCGGGGTGCTTGCTACACAGTGGTGACAATAGGTCTTTGATTAAAACCATGACCAGACTCTGGTGGACAAGACAGAGCTAACAGAATGCCTATGAGAGGAACACATCCACGTCAGAACAATCTGTAGTGACTTTCAGGGGTCTGCAGGGTCTGCAGATGACTCCTCTTTTCAGGGGATTCCACACTGGAAAACCATTTCCAGTTGTAGATTTTTAACTACCAGGCCCTGACTCCCGAGCGTTACAAGCCCCTGCGAGCCAGCTGAGATCTTGTTAGTGTACCTAGTCATTCACACTCAAGGGCCTTAATCCCTGGGCGCTGTCTGCTAAACCTCAGAGAACTGCTCAATCAAAACCCACGTCACTGTAACTGAATGTGTGTGTGCAGATGCCAAACTCCACGGGAAGGGGCCACACTGGCATCAGGCACCACCGACTTCTCACCGTGCCACCCCAGTGGGTAACATGGAAGCTCATGCCAGGTCAGAACTGCGCGTCCCTCTGATCAGTGTGGCTGCGCATCTTTTGTGCACACACCATGCCTCTTCTGGGACGCGTTTGTGCATTTTTGCCCCTTTTTTATTTGGGTTGCCTTTTTATTGTTAAATTGTACAAGTTCTTTAACATCCTGGGGATAAGTCAATTTTCAGATGTAAGTATTGAAAATATTTTCTCCTACTCTGTAGTCTGCCTACGCATCCCCTTTAACAACATTTTTCATAAGCATGGAAGTTTTACATTCTGATGGAACTCCAATGGGTCCATTTTTAAAATGCAAAGTGAAGAAAGCTAAATGTCAAAGTATTGAGCAAGGTGACAAGTTAGTGATGAGCTGGCTACTTCCTACTGAATGCCCAGTGTCCCTCAAGCATTGTCCCAAGAGCACTGTCTATGCACGTCTCAAATAACAAACCCAGCAGCCTCGGGAAGCCAGACCGGGAGACCCAGGCTGAGAAAAGTACAGACACGGCCCAATAACTCCACAAAACAGTTACAAAATGGTCTGGGGACCCCACTCAAAGCCAAACTCTTAAAATCACTAACATTTCATGAAGTTAGCAGGAGAACAGAAACTGTCCCACGCTGTTTTGCGCGAATGTGTCTCCTTCCCTTTTCCTTATGCTTTTGGAACGCACAAACAACTGGGTGCTTTTACCCAGAAAAAAATTGGGTAAAACTTTTGGACTACAGCAAAGTGGACAAGAGGGAAGAGGCACTTCACACGAAAGTCCGAGGGTGCGGAAGGCTCTGCCGGACCCTGTGGGGCTGTGGAGCCCCTCCCTCCCAGAGCTGCAGGGCTCATGGCCGGAGGGCAGACGGCATGGTGTGCCTGGGCTTCGAGGGATGGTAAAGGGCAGGAAGCCTCCTGTCTACATGAAAGTACCACATCAGCATTAAGTACCACAGGCAGGTACTGGCAGAAGAGATCACCTCAGAGCCCACCATGCCCCCTCCTCCCCACTCAGCAGACTCACCTTTCTTCTGTGGACCCCAGGTTCTCTATCTCATTAGCTACTTCTGCTATCTCATCCTTCAGTCTCTACAAGAGAAAAGAACCCTGTATTAGCAGGAGAACAAGGCACACACTGAACCAGAACTTCTTCAAGTTCATCTAATGTCTTCCAGCCATAACACAGAATAGTACCATGGAATGAATTAGGAAAATTCTTATTTTTTTAACACATTTACTGAGCTCCTACCAGAGACCAAGCATTCTATAGAATACAAAGGAGAAAAGAGCCAGTTCCTGACCCCAAGGAGTTTATGGTCTAATAAAGAAAGTTCAATCGCACACATAGTGTGTAAAAATGTCCCTGCAGAAGGACATCATGCTGGGTAAAAGTAGAGGGTCGATGAAAAGGAGGAAGACCCTCGGTGAGCTGGCGTGACAGCGGCTACACCAATGGGCTCAAACCTAGCAACGATGGTGAGGCTGGAGCTGGAGTGGACAGTGTTCTGTTCTGCTGAGCACATGGTGTCGCTATGAGATAGAAGTGACTGAAAAGCACCTGACAACCACCACCACCACCATATCCAACCTCCAACATGGCTGCTTCGCACTGTAGTCGCGATCAGAGGCATGGGTTAGGGGCACACCCAGGGCTGCTGGGCCAGCTGTGCTCGGCTGGGCACACACTGCCACTTAGTGGCTGGTGACAGGAATGTCTAGGCCAGCCCCAGGCCTGTCCAGCTCAGACAGGCCCTCACAGGAGAGGATGGCTGTGCTTTACCTACTTACCAGTGAGACAGGGTCAAATAACTTAGGAGAATGACCCAAACAACTCAGGTCTCCCCTGATGGCTACGGGGCAGCCCCTGATCTCCCCCAACAGGAGAATTCTAGAACACTAACTTGCCATTTGATGACCGGAGGGTCAGAGAAATGACTGACCTATAAAGTATTTCTATGAAGTTTGGCAGTTTTGGAAAGGAACATAGAAAAATATTCATAAAATCACTACCAGAAACGAGGCGCAATCCTTGATAAATATGAAGCTGTTTAATGCTCACAACTACCTGTGAAGCAGGTGTTCTCTCTTCCGAGAGCATCACAAATGAAGACACGTTGGCTTCCCAGTCTGCTTTTACTGGGCTCACTGGTGACCAGGTCTCCGCCCCCAGCACTATCCTGGGGGTCCAGAAGTAAAAAGCTGCTCGTGCTCTCATGACTGACCAGCTGTGTGGCTCTGTGAGATCACACGTCCTACATTCTGTTCACAGGACAAGACACTCGAGGTGGGACACATGCCCAACACACAGAAAACCCACCTGTATGTCAGCCAGCAGCTCCTGCTTCCGGCGTCGGATGTTCTCCAGCTCTTGCCGCTCCTCTGGAGTCAGGTCACTGGGAACTACAAGGAGAGAGGGAGCTGTTACCACCAGAGCTGGCACCACACCAAGAGGAGAGACAATGACAACCCAGACGCCAAGAAAGGCGAATGATACCAAGCAGGACGACGCCAGCAGCCCGCTTCAGAAATAGCCATTGCTAAGAATAGTTCTGGCACCAGCTCCCCTGCACGTTTACCTTCAGTCACAGAGCAAAGTGCTCTGAAAAGACCACTTGGAAGGAAAACCAGAGAGAAGACGGCCCAAGGCTCAGTCAGCTGAATGTCTCCCAGTTTCTCACACAGGCTTCCAGCTGGGGGCACCAGCCCGCTCCATCTCTCAGCTCCCCATGGGGAGGTGCCCCAATACCCTGAAATAGGGAGGGTATGCTGCTGGGCACTGAGAACAGCTCGAGGCCACTTCTCTCGGGGAAGGAGACTGTACATGCAGAGAGAAATCTAGAAAGGTTTGTGCCAAGCTTGACCTGGGCCCTGGGATTATGGGCACTTCCTTTTCTCCTTACCCACTTCCACATGGTGGAAAGATGAGCTCTTGTCAGCAGGCAGAATGATCACACTCACCGCCCACCAGGGGCCGCGTGTACCTTCCTCTCATGTACTGCTAGATGACCCTCCTGAATGTGGGAAGGACCAGCCTTGAGGCTGGCACAGTTAGGGCACAACCTAGCCCCAATCAAGCCCACACCAGAAAGTCCCTTGGGGAGTGACTCAACCTCTCTGGGCCATAGTATTGCCATCAGTAAAGTGGGGATACAATCCCGCCGCATTCCCCCAGTAATCCAAGTGTCTCAAACCCTGCCTGGGGGCTTCGTGGCTCAGAGCTGGCTTCCCTCCCCTCACTGTGGTCAAATCAAAAGGCGCTCATCTATCCTCCTAGGAGGCGGAAAGATGGGGAGGCACCAGCCATGTGGCCACTACACTCCAGTCCGACGACTGCCCAAGTGTAAACCACACACCAGACCCTGGACTCAAAGACGGTAACACGCTGCGGACATGTGACAATGAGCCTTGGGAAAGGCGCGCGCAAGTGGGCCATGGTGATCTGCTCCCAGAAAGACGCAGCTAAGCCGCAGGGGCAGTGAGCGCAGGCTCCACTCGATAAGGAGGAGCAGCAGCCCAGGAGAGGCGGCAGAACGGCTGCATAGCTCCAAGAGTGGCATTGAAGGCACTGTGCTGCACACGCAGACACCGCTGAGCAGGTGTACGCTTGGTTGTGTACATATCAACAACAGCAAAATACAACTTAAAAGAAAAAGGTGAGAGAGTCAAGAAATCTCTAGGGGCAGTTCTACTCTGTGGCAAGGGGCCGCCATGAGTCAACCGATGGGCTTGATGGTACCCAAACAACCAACCCCGTGTTCCTGCAAAAAAAATAAATAACTGCTTGGAAGACCTCCAAGGGGTTCTACACCTTACCCAGTGACACAGGCCTCGTGCAAAGCCTTTACAGAGTATAGGACCTTAGGTGGAATCCTGAGTCCCATCCACAACCTTGTGAGAAGAGACATTCCCACTAGAAAGGACAAGCAGACTGGAACAGCTACAGTGACAGAAGATACATCTTCAT